ATGATATTGCCTAGCTTGGCTACGAAGCGTCTGCAAACAACACTTCCAGCTCGGAGAACTCACCAACACCAACCACTTGTTATTGGTCTGGGTTTTTATATGAAACTATCGATTCTCAGGCTACATTAATTACATAGGAAGCTCCAGGGCAACTAGTGTATATAATACAGTTTCTGTTCAAATAACTGCAATCTACTCTCCCGTGAAATCCATCAACTGACCGGGTTCATCAAAACTGGGACAAACTGTAAACCTCGATCGTTGGAACGAAGCGAGGGACCAGATATGGGAGTTTGCCCACACACATTGATCAAAATACTGTTATCTCAGTTGTCGGCGTACCAGTAATGTACACGTAAAAGAAAACCGGTACGAAAGCTATCAGAACTGCACACGAAATGACTCTGAGTTTCACATTCAATCAAATATTCAAGTGGGCATCACAAATACTCACGTCTTCATGTGATGTCCATACTAGAACAATATTTCAATTCCTTCCCACCGTTTCCATCCTTGAGGATTAACTCAGAGAACCATTGGCCAATTTCGCGTTCTTTATTGATCGACAAATAATTTTAAATTTTTTCTCCGGTTTCTCTTACGGTTGATCAAAAAACATGTGTTACTAGGAAAATAAGTAACACTACTTCACAAAGGATCACTTTTTTCGTTGTATATCAAAGCATATTATGATGATCACTCCTCTATTTCTAAACCATAATTTGAAAAAAATTACATGATATTTTACAAATACTCACCAAAAAATTTCCCAAGTAATCATATACAAAGATCTCTCCAGTGATTAGTCCAAACAGAAGTAATTTTCCATCCGGAGACCATTCCACAGCAACTAGATTTCCACACTTCAATTCTTTGCCCCAAATTCGGTTTCCATCCACCGACCCCAGAATAGCTGCCCCGTCTTCGTAAGCAATGCAAATTCGATGTCCTTCTGTGTCCCACTGAATGAAATGAGAACAGCGTAAACAATGAAAATAACTCATTTGTTGTCATCATATTGTGATAATTTTATTCTAAATAAGTGTGTCTACTCATGGGTGGTATAAACATAAAAGTAGAACGACGCAAAATATCATTCCGGCAACAAGAACTGACGTAATTTGTGTGGTGAAGCTCCATTAAGGACACATGAAATATCACTTTTCAAAACTCCAAGTGCTTAAATCAAAGGCAAATAAACTGGCACAGTAAGGCCTAGGCATTGGTTATCATTTCTAAATTGTACACAACTCATAAGCATACGTTTTGGATGGGCCAAGGGTGAGAAGAACTACGATGGCATACCTGCATACTGCAAACGACCGATTTGTTTCGATTATTGATCATTTCCTCGTACCAAGATCCTTTATATAGCATCCAAACGATGATCAGACCCTGTTGATCGGATGTGGTGATCTTTTTGAATTTCTCATTCCAAGCCAAGACCTTCACGCTGCCTGTAATCGGTTCGTGTGTCAAATTATTATTGCATAATTTGTACCAACCAAACAGATACATACCTGTATGTCCTTCTAGGGTTTGATTCATCACGAGGTTAGTCGGGGCTGCCAGACCTTTAGATTTGCAATCCACCTGCACTTCCAGTTTGAGGATTTTCATCAATCCATCCTCCCCACCACATGCAATGTAACCGTGCTCCTTACTCCATGCAATCGATTTCAATTTTTTATTATTTGGAATTGCAATCTGATCGAGCGTGCACGGGTAGTATTTGTAAAACAGAATTCCGGACAAACCTTTTTACTCAAATACGCAAACATGTTTGTTGTTGTTTTTTACGTATAACTTTTGTACAGCTGGTTGAACTGAAATAGAAGGGAGGAGGAGAAGGTGAAATTATACAGCCCCATTAACGAATATTAGGGTTACATAGGGCCTTCTCATCAGCTATTTTATTTAAAACTGCCAGAACTAGTGAATCAAAGTTTTTCTCAAACAACACTGATTTTATAATTATAACTTTCAGTATTTGAAAGCTTTCTAATGTGACCCAACAATGATGTAGTTGAATATCAATTTTAGGACTCTTTAAAAGAAGTAGCTTTGAGTGTGAATGGACCAAAAGGCAAGAGAAATGTGCCGCGTAGTGTTCAGTTTTTGACGCATTTGAAGCATGCGCATGTAACAGTGACGCAGCAGTTGTGATATTTGATACGCACAGAGCCCTAGTTAGATTTTGGAAGCTCGCTGATCGACAAAAACTTGCAGACACTTGCACACACAAGTAGAAAATATTCAAAAATTGATGTTTGTGCTGCTTGACATTTAAAAAACCCAAGCCATAAATTGAAAAGGTTTGTACCTTAAGACATGGAGTTATCTCTGAGAAGAGGTAATCATGATGTGCTAGAGGGATTTGGTGTCAAATTAAATGAAAGTACAACACTACTGCGATTGCATAAAACGTGCATACTGTAACTGCAGAAACTACCGTCAAGTTCCATCCATTGTGGTTGATTTCACTGTATTTGATTTCCACGCAGCCTTTTACAGTTTTGTGTGTTTTTAACACGGTAGTTTACGTCGAAACTCCCCACGCTTTATGCCCAGTAATATTTGACTGCTGTCTATATGGAATAGTTTTCATCATTAACTGTGATTGAGATCACCCAACGCTAGTGATGCCTATTGTTTTAACAAAAACGGACATTTCGACCGTACCATAGATAATGTGAATTGACAAACAATAAGAAGATTTATCGATTTACTTCGCATTTTACTCCACCTCCTTTCCTCTTTTCCAAAAGACGAGCCTTCTTGCAGGAGAACGCTACAATTATTATTTTGTGCATAGCCGTGCAATAAAACATCATGAAGGGATTCGTCAGTAGTAAATTCAAGTGCTCAAGACAAAAAATCATGTTGCAAGCCATTTAACAACCCCAAAACACTTCGTGTACGCTGATACAACAAGGAAGAAACAAAAACGTAATTTGCACACTCCATTCTTCAACAAGCAAATTAATTGGGGTGAAATTTTTTGAACTTAGTGGAATGTTGATCAAATTTCATTTAACTTAAGATAGTTTGTCTTTGAAAAGTAAAATGTAAAAGCAAAATAACTATCGTAAAGGAGGATAACATAAGAGGTAGGGTTCACATACTGGATTCTAAGTTTATCTGCAGATGGGACATTGGTTTCCGTTCGTGTATGCGAAGGCTGAGGATAAAGGTTTCCGGATACGCAGTACGCGTACGAGGCATAGATGACCGGGCAAGGAAAATGTAAACTGTGATATATTGCGAATATTATTCAATGATTTCTAATCCCAGAACCAAATGTCAACAACCGAGCACGGTCCACATGTCAGGAAAATTGTCTTAATGGGACTGTAAGGATGGAACTCGGTCAATTTTACTGGAGAACGATGATGTTCTACGAGTATACAACTGTGGTTTAAAGCAGCAGAAGCCGATTGTTGATCGTTTGTTAGCTGCCCTTGGTGATGACGCGTCTTCAAGGACTGTATTTCGGTATTTTGCAGAATTCAAGTATGGCATGCGGTCCCTAGATGTTGAGACACGAATTGTTTGACGAGTAGAGAGCACCACAGCAGAAAACATCGCTGCTGTTCGGGCGGTGAATAGAGCAGATGCGCAGGTGACTGGTACAGCTGGTAAAAGCTATCTGCGATTCATCGGTATCAATCCGCACGATACTATGTGGGACGCCCTGCGTCAGAAAACTTTGCGCACACTGGGTACTTGCTTCGGTATTAAAAGTGTCAGAAGTATCAGAGGTATCGAAATCTATTGATGATTCACTTGGTAAACTTTTTCGAGATCAGAAAACACACACATGGCCTAAGTTTTGTGAGTTTCACGTAAACTTTAAATAAGATAAGAGTTTTATTCTAAGGCTGTGCATGTTTATTGCTCCTCAGCTATAATAATTAGAACTTTAAGCAGTTTTTTAATAAGAGCTTTCATTAAACGAGTAGTTAGTCTAACTCAAAGGTGTCAGTATAATAGGGAATGAGTTTCTCGGATTTGAAAGGGTCAGGCTTCTCGCACCTTGAAAAATGATCCAATGTGACTCAAATAGCTTCTGCTTAGCAAGCCATCCTCAATGCCTTCTCATTACAGTGTTGCCCCTATACAAGTGAGTAGATAACAATTCAACAACCGGAACTGTGAATGAATCTTTATCAGCTCACCTAGATGACTTGGGAAAATGCTTGATTAGAAACCAGAGAAGAAGAACCTAACAAACCGCACCCACGCTTCTCTGGTTCTAGTGGTGGTTAACGTTTCGATTGGGCATCGAGATGTACTAAGCACCTCCAAATATTGGCCCTTCTCAGAGGGCATATGATCCAATAAACTGGCCTCCGGTCCTCGAATCTCAAAACTTTGCAGTTTTCACTAACCTTTCCATTGCTTTGCGGGTCAGGCTTTGATATCCATAGCCGGCAGTTGCGATTCCCTCGAGAATATTAACATACTTTTTCCTGAAGAACTTAGCGGCATTTTGCAAACTATAAAGCGCAGGCAAATTATTTGGATAGAACACTTCTTCTACTGAGATTTCTTTGACGCTTCGACTTGGCTCAGGCGTGTATGAAATACAATATTCCACTATACTATAAATGACATTTTTCAATACTTGGATAACTCACCCACTGTCTTTAAGAAATCAGTTGCACTATTCTAGTGTATTTCAATAGAAATTTTTGTCTTACACATTGTTTGATTGATATACACTTTAATTGCCGAAGAGATTCGTAAAATTTGCCTAAAAATAAAAGCCTGTATGATGATAATCAAAATTTTATAAGTTGATCAACTGGTGCGTCACACTGCATAAGCAGCTTTCACTGAATATTATTATTCATTGAAGAAGAAAACTGAAATCAGCAATATACAAAGATGTATTTAACAACAAAGGAAGAGTGAATGGAGAAGGAGGGCAAAATACAAGTTCAATGAACATTGCGGTGGTCATGTTTTCAATTAAGTGTTATCTCGTCCCTTCTTAAAAGTACCCGTTTTGTTGTCGAAAGTTTAACGCATTTTTACATACGCGTGTTTTTCTTCTCTGGTATAGCATACATACATGACGTGCTTTACATGCTGACCAAGGAACGAACTACTTTTCTAACAAATAAATGTTTCAAGGCCAGCACACTGTATGAGTGTCTACCTCCGGGGTTGCATATCAGCGAACAACACTGTTGATGAAAAGATCTATTGGCTCGAAATAACGTCAAGATTGACATTTTTTTATTCAGTGATATCTCTGACATTATTGCATTAAAGATCTTTCAATGAAACGTTGTGTGATTGAAGCAGAGGTACGGCTGCAAACCTTGGTTTTTTGGGCAAATATTGATAAACGACTATCTGTGTTCGAACGTTGTCTGCGCCGCATCCCAGGTTTATGTCGGTAACGTTGTGTGCAACGATGAAGTCAGGCTGCTTGTAGTAGTAGGAGGAAGTAGGACGTCCTTGAACAGGAAACGGTCAGGACATGTCTCGCAAATTTATAGACGAAATTTCTTCCATGGTACTGCAAGTGCAGACATTAAAATGAACTTAAAAACTAACGTAGTGAGAAAGCACTGTTTGGTGATATCAGTTTAGAAGTGAGATTCTAGAATAGTAATTGTTCGTATCGCCAACCCCCTCCGTAAACGGTTGCTAAAAACCCATCCGTCCTCCGTAAAATGAAACGATATCATTGCTGTTTGCTTGGTTAGCATTCCTTAACTATGCAATGTATGATTATCACAATTATTTGTAAGAACCCCATTTCTCAGGACTAAATGATATGGAAAATAATTTTCCTGCATGGAGCTTGAAGCACTTTAGGCGCTCGCCTGGTTTTGTCTTAGAAGCCTAACATGACCTGACCCGACTTACTGATACAAAATATTAAATGTGAGTACGTGTATACATTCACAGACCCTGTCTACACATCAGCGCATTTTCCCCTTATTTCTCTAGCAAAAGCCCGTTTACCATAAACCGTAACCTAATGAGTCTACGATGAGGTTATTTTGACCAAAACATTTTTTCTATACCTATCAAATATGAAAGAGATACATATCCGATAAAGTAAGCATTTTCCTAAATTAATTTCCAAAGCAAAAACCATATCGCAATACTTAATGGTTTGTGTTCAAAACTAATTCGCTGCATCTCAACATGATCCCTCCTGCACATAGGATTTGAGTGGGCGGCACACCCGAATTGTGGATTCTCTGCAGAGTTGAGTAAGGTGCGTGGCTCTCGTCTTCAGACCTCGGGCGGTGTTCTGATCAATGTAATATTTCCCAAAGGAACTTCAGAGTCAAGCTTTCACTTCGGCCCTTCTAGGTCATTACATACCATTTCTCGTAGAAACTTGCTAGGCTCATTGAGGCTAAAAGTGTACGGAGCGCGATATCTTTCTTTGGTATCCTGAACGTTCCATCAGAACGATGAAATGTCTGTTAAGATGAGTGAAAAAAATGCATAACGGGAATGACACGTGGTGCCTTTCAAACTTACGCTTGGCTTGTGACTACTGGACTGAAAAGGCCTTCATTAAGATCTTTCGACAAAGTGCCACACATCAGGGGGGGTCTAATCTTGGTTCTGATCTGTGAAATTCCGTCTCATATCTACGTATAGCGTGAGGCGCTATAGAAATATGGTTTTTCATTGTTCTACGCCTTAGCGTAGTTCCGTATAGGGGATTCATATACGACTCTCCTCGTTGCAGCTCAATAGCATCAATTAGAGGTACCAAGATATAACCCAAGTAGCACGTCATCAG